GACACTTTCTTTAAGAAAGCAGACAAGACTCCAGAAAAACCTGCAGCCAAGACTCCTGAGAAGACTCCAGCCAAGAGCCCTTCAACAAGTCCAGCAAAGTCACCTCAAAGAAGTCCTTCCAAATCAATATGATTGCTATTTACAACAGAAATGCATTAATGTAGCTATATTACTCATCTATAATTGATTTAGTACAAAATTCTGGGTTATTTTTGGTGAAAATAGGGTATCGGGCCTTGGTTCAGGAACCAATCCCGCATTTATAACATTGTTTCCTATAGGAAAATCGGTTCTGAGTTACAACGTTTCAACTTAAGACACGGCTTTCAGGAACCAATTGTGTCGTAAGTCCGAGGACTGCCTGTATCTGATGCAATTTCATGCCATTCAGAAGGTTAAGTAGTTTCCAAACAAGAAGTTTTTACAGAATCCAACTGGCCCCCACAGGAAAAAAAGTCTCTGGAGGCAGTCAGCCTTCCTCTTCTCTTTTCTTTCTCCATTGGAAGGGGGAGAGCCAAGGCAGAGTAGATCTGTACCTTATAGAACCACGAAAGGGGACAGACCAACCTCCTTCAATGGAGAAAGGATGGATAAACTCCTGCTAACTGGGGTACTACCACTTTCTTCATGCTTTCCTGCTCTATTTATACAGCCACATGCAGAACCTCCTAAAATGGCTACTGTTTCAGAGACCTCTGCCTGGTGAGTACAATCAAGTAGGAGAACAGGCTTTCAAAAGAGAGGGAGATAGATAAGGCAGGGAATCTCTCCCTCTCCTTATAGAGGGACTTGCCTATATCTGAGCTTCCCCCACTCCATGTGTTTTATTTAATTCTATTTCAGGGCTGTAGAAAATTACAGGATAAACTATAACTCTGTCTCTTTACTTACTCTGTTGTAATTTTATTCTTAGTTTATCAGATTATTTTTAATCTAAAGAAGCATTTGCGGTTTTGCTAGAAAATGTGCTAATTCAGCCTTTGTACCAGATGTTAGGGTTTAGCAGATGGCTACTACATTTAGATAAAGCAGGAGCAGTTAACTCACAATTAAAAAAGTAAAAGTAGAGACTATTAATTTGTTATTCAGCACCTCTGCTACATTTCAGTGCATGCGAGCAAGGGATTCTAGTCCAATCCTGAGAGGTGCTAAATACTACAACAGCCTATGAGCTCAGTGGAGCTTGAGGGCATTTAGCTTTTTTCAGGATAGAGTCTTTTCACTGGTAATGTAAACCTAAGATAAAGGAGAGGAAAAGGGGATCTCATATGCAACGGGCCTAATTCTCTTCAGGCCTCTTGTATTTATTTACTAGCTCAGTTTGACTGGAGCTATTATGAATCAGGCATCAAAGCTGGGCTGGCGTTCATGTACATCCTAACCTGTCAGAACCAGTGTCTACACATATAAAGGACAATCACTGCTGCATCAGTCCTTGCCACTTTCTGAAGCATAGGTTTAGGTTGGGTTGTTTTGGTTTTTTTAATTATAAATTCCCACCCAGTAACTTGCTTGCATCTCTGCTTTTCAGAAATCAGCAGAGTTCCCCTCTGAGAGGACTTCTACATTAAAGCTTTGTTTAAGATTAGAAAATCATGTGATCATCTTTAAATATTTAAAAACAATAATAAAAAGGTCAGGTCTTTTTAAAACAAACACACCATTTGAAGCAGTATAATATTTTAATAAAATTAAATCTAAGTATTAACAAAGCATTATGCATATACAGTACATACTGTATTTAAAGCCTATGGACCTTAAACTCAATTTATTTTAGTGTAGTCAGCTTTGGACACAAGCTAAGCTTACCTGTTTTGTAATAAGAAAGTTTACCACTGTACTTGGAAGTGATTTTACATATGTACATATATCTGTATCTATACCCACATACACATTTAAATATTCACATACATTTATTTGTATGAAAATATATACACATACATACACATATATGCAGATAGATATGCGTATGTATATATATATATATATATTTTTTTTTTTTTAAATATATTTTTCTAGCTCTCTGTGGAGGGGCCAGTAAGTAAAAAGAGATATTGCAAATGACAACAATGATACTTATAAAAAGAAAACCTGTAAAATATTGTAATTTATACAGCTTGTTAGTATTTTGCATTGAACAAAAGGAACACAGTCTTCTGTATTACATAGAAATTATATTTATTGCATTTGATTATGTTTGAGTGACAGATGAGAACTACCTGCCTGCTTCTGACAGCTAACTTTTTAGTTATGAAGAAGATTTAAAAAGAAAAAAGAAAAAGTGCAAAAACACAAGAAACAATCTATTCAGGTAATGTTGCCTTATGGATGCAGTCAGTGATGATACTTTCTATTGAGTAGCACAGATGTTCTTCTAGTTAAACAGTGACCAACTCCAGTTTGTTTTGAAGAGACTGCTCTCTGTTCTGTTTCTTAATCATTTAGAAACCAGAAGTCTTAGTTTATTCTTTCTCTGAGCAGTGGAATCATTGCCCTTGACTGCCAAAAACTTACCACAAGAAGCATAACTAAATTTTCAAAATAGGATTGGAAGGTTTTCACTTGCAATTCAGAATAGCAAGTAGGGATCATGCCTATGTGGGTTATCATCAACACCTGCCCTCTTTGCTTTGAAGGCAAATCCCCAATAATGTACCACCGCAGTGAAAGTGGTCAATGATAATCTCCATGCAACATAAAGTATAATTTTGGGACATGCATGTATTTTTTAAAAAAATAAAAAATATAAGGTGCCTTGAGAATGCTGGCAGTTTTACATTTGGAACATATAGTTTCTGTGTGTGTGTGTGTGTGTGTGTGTGTGTGTGTGTGTGTATATTTACAACATAACTGCTCAACTTTACCTTACAAGCTTCAAATTTAGGAAAATATACAGTACTTTTGCATATAATGTTATATTCCTTGTAGCCCCTGAGTCAAGTATAGAGGATTTAAATACAAAAAGGAAAAACAACCATTAAAAGCACTTACATTTTATGTGAAGTAATAGTACAAAAGTATTATTTCCCAGGAAGACCAGGATCAGAAACATGCCTATGAAGACCCAAGATTCCTATAGTGTTTAGGGAAGAATCTGGCAAGGAAGGGTGTCTAACTGGATGGAGATAAGTTTTACAATGCTGTTGATGACACTCCGAAGACTTCTCATGTTCTTGTTCTAAAAAAGAAGCTAAGTTGTCTTCTGAGGCTGTATTAAGATGCACCCCACTGGAGAGGGATTCTTTGGGTTTAAGTTTTGATTTTTCAAGGTCTAAAAATTCAGAACACTGAAAGGGAAGAAAAGAAACAAGGTGGCAATAGTTTTCCTGTTTCTCCTGTTTGTATTAAAACTGAGCAAAATCAAAATCTTTGAAAAATCAAGCGTAAAACACAGAAACATTTCTGGAAAACACAATGTTTGATTTGAAGTACTTGAATATGATTCAGCTTCTGATCTTCACTATCCTTCCTCAGACACTATGTTTTTGGCTTTATGTTTTACAGAAAATCTTAATTAAGAGATGAATTTTCTAGGGATGCCCCCACCCTGAGTCTGTGGATTTGAACACCCCTGAAACTTGAGAGATGTCAAGAACTGAACCCTGTAAATAAAGCAGATCCCTAACTTTGGGGAAGTTTGGATTTGGATTCAGATCCATGCACTAGGCTCTACTTTATCTTTTAAGTCAGAGCTTGTGGGAAGAGAGGTCTTAATATATATGCATTTTTAACTCACCTGCAATGAAGGGAGTGGACACAGCAATGGTTTTACCTCCAGCCCCACTTCTCTTTCTAATACATGTGTTTATTCATACATCATGAACTCCCTGCTGCATCACCCATAGGCTGCAGAACGGGGTGGGCCACCCAGGGCCATGACCCGACCAACTTTTAGCATGTTAATTTATATAACCCACAAATGTGCAATTGTCATTCTGGTCAAAACTATATAGCTATTTTTAAAACTGCATAGCTAGCTAAATTAACTTGCTAAAAGTTGGTTGGGCCATGGCCCAGGTGGCCCACCCCGTTCCACGGCCTATGGCATCACCTGAACTCCTCTCGCCTGTACAGCTAAAGAAATGAGAAATGGCTCAGGGCTTCAAGCCATTGGACAGCAGCAGCTGTTGGCGAAAGACTGCACTTTTTTTGTGCCTCCTTTGTGCTAAGCTAAGAGTAATTCTTTTGACTTGGATCCACCCCTAGTAATGTCCCTTTTTGCTATCTCATTTTATACAGTTTGTGATCATTTGCTAAATGTGTTACTGGGCTTGTGCTACACATTAATGCACATTAGCCTATTGTAATGCACATTAAAGAGTCACAAAATGTGCACTTTTGCTAATGTGCATTAAAATAGACTAATGAACCTTTTTCTAGTACCTGACAATGGAGGTAATACATTTAATATGCATTAGCAAAAGCACATTAATTAATGTGTAGATGTGCCCACTATGACACTATTTTGTAGCTTTAAGACCTTTACCCTCCCCCCACAACTCCCCAGAGATGTTTGGTCAAATTATTTCCTATTAATAGAACTACACGACAAATGCCTGATGCAGTGAACAGTTCTTCCAGCCTCAGGTAAGAATGTAAAAAAAAATCCTTGTAGTTGACATTGGCATAGACATACCTGTGATGCAGGACTGAAACTTCTGTCTGTTTTAATAGATGCTACAGGATGAAGGTTTGGCTTCACCCGGGCAGCTGAGTGTTGATATTCTGCACTTGTAGTCACCATACTATATGTAGGTGGAATGAGCGTTGACTGCCTTTGTAACAGCTGTAAGATGGTTTGAATGTCAGCAGTCATTTGGGATTCAAGCCTAGAGAAGTAGCATGAAATCAGTTAGCACACAGCCATGGTAGAGTACATTTTAACACAGTGATTACAAATGCATTCAAGAGGGAGCTGCAGGATATTAACAAAGAAAATCATAACTTTTAATAAAATAAACATGTTTTGAATAGGAAAGAACAGAAGAGGGAGCACCGAGTCCTTCCAAGGCTTGCAGCTCTCCCTCTTATCCACGGAACATATTCTCTCAAGTGCATCATACCTTAGTGTTCAACACACAAATGAATATATTGCTATCACTTAGGTTTGTAACTGAAATGAATATTGTAGTCCAGATCCTAAGCTGATTAACATAGCTGTGCTGACTTGACGAGAACTGAATTGATTTATGCAGGCTGAGATTTTTGGGTCACAATTGCTAAAGTGTCTGATGTCTCTCCCAACTATGCAGTTGGTCCAATAAAAGATATAGCCCCCTAAATCCTTGCTTCTTTGCAACTTCTGATGGTCCTAAAGGCAAAGGGATACTCTAAAAACCTTGGTTGCATAATATGCATTTCCCACAGCTGAAACCTAGGTCATTCTTTTTTTAAGTACAGATCTTAAAATCAGTAATCTTTATTCAGTGAGTCATTAGAATTTAGAGCACAGCCGTGGGTAAAAAAAGAGCTTAAATGAAGATTTCCTTAAAATTCAGAGATAAACCCACCATTTTTTTGTGATTCAGAACTGATTGATTTTTTTCTAATTTTTGTACGAATTCTGATTTTTTGTAAATAAACCTTCAGGGAAGTGACAACATTGGAGATTGCTTATCTTCTCCATGCTTACATTGCCATAGCATGGAAGTGATTTTCAAATTATCTTGCCAAGTTAATTAACAAACTCTGCAATGGGTAATGCCTATTGTGCTTCCCCAGCTGCCACAAGGCACTGTAAAGAAGATTGTAAAATGGATAGAAATCCTATTGTATTGGAACTCATCTCCTGACAGAATCATTTGCTTTGTAAACAGATCTTTATGTCAACAGCCCTTGATGTCATGAATGTTACTACTTCAGCACCCTGCAACAGCAGATTTAGGCCTCCTCTGGCAGAATTGCTTTTGCTAGGTGCCTCCTTGTTTGACCTAACCAATGTCATGCTGCAGAACAACTTAATCAGAAGAGATGGCTGTGAACTAAGTTGTAATTTTGCACCAGATCTCAGCATTCCCCTGGATGTTCAGGATGACTTTGCTCCCTGCATAGATATTAAAAGAAACATTGCTTCTTTGTTTGCTATTGTTACTATTGATTCCATGGCACTGAATTTTATAAAAGTAGCCTAATGAAGGACCAAATATAAGATGTCAGAATCACCTTCTGTTCAGCTCCCTTAGTAAGTATGAGGCTGATACCACAGGAAAAATGCAGCAGCATCAATCACCATGCAGTGTCTTTATGTGTCATAATTTTTAATGAATAAAAATAATGCATTGATAATTAACTTGTATTGGAAACTTTTTTCTCTCCCCTTATTTGTATTATCTGCAGAAGGTTCTTTGGGTGAATCTGATATATTTTATTAGACCAACTTAAATAGTTGGAAAAAGAATTTTAAGAAAACTTTTAGGTTTAAAAACCCTTTGTCAGGCTGAGGTGGTGTGCGCTTTTCCTGGATAAAATGAAAAGTAAAGAAGCCAGAAGCTGGGCTGGTCTGCATATAAGACAGGCAGTCAGTGAAGATGTAGATTGAGGAGTCAATCGGTGCGAGACAGGTTGGGGGAAGGGGGGAACAAGGGGGGTGAATACTGGAGAGGTACCTGGGGAGTCAGATCTCAGGCAGGTTATAATGTGTCACAAATTCAATGAATATATTTAGTCCATGATTTTTAGTATCCAGGAGGTTGATGAAGAAGAGTTCATAGGCTCGTCTCTGGGAAGTGTTTTGTAAGTTTCCTTTGAGGATCAGGACTGCGAGATTGGAGAGAGAGTGGTTTTCTTGTGGGAAATGTGCCCCCACAGGTAATTGGGTATTCCTGTCTTTGATCAATTCCTGGTGTGCGTTCATTCTGGTGCGCAGTTGTTGTTTGGTTTCTCCTATGTAGTTTCCATCAGGGCATTTGGTGCATTGGATGAGACGTATTGCATTTCTGGAGGTGCAGCTGTAAGCTCCGGGAATGCTGATGGCTCTGTTGTGGGGTGTAGCAATTGTGGGGGTGGGGGAGATGTGTTGGCAGGTTTTTCATTTCTTGTCATGGCATGGTCTGGATCCATTTGGTGTGTCATTGGCATGAGGAAGTTTGCTTCTGGTGATAAGGTTAGTGAGGTTTGGTGCTTGTTTGAAGGCTAGGATGGGTGGCTCTGGCAAAATCTCTTTAAGAATAGGGTCTCTTTTTAGTATGGGTTGCAATTGTTTGAGGATGTTCTGTATGGGTTTGAGGGATGGGTGATCTGTCATAACCAGCGGCATGTGATTCATGGGGGGGTTTCTTCTGTACTGCAGCAATTCTTCACATGGTATCCAGGTGGCTCTTTCAAACTATTTTTTTCCCAACTATTTAAGTTGGTGTAATAAAAGATATCAGATTCACACAAAGAACCTTGTCTGCCTATGTACTTACACCAACACAGCTACAACCTACACCCTTATTCTCATGTGCCTTTTCTCATTACTTTACAAAGAGTTTTCTACTGTGCCAAAGCACAGAGTTCTAACTTTTCTCTAAGTTTTCATTCTTTCCTATTTTCCCATTTAATAACAATAACAGAAACAGATCATTCCCTTCCAAAGAAAAACATGCAGGATGGCAAAGATACTAACACTCAGTCATGGGTGAATTTAGAGTTAAATCTTGTATTTGTCATGTCAACAAAGTTGAAAGTAATGGAATTCCGGGGAAAATAATAAGAAGGCACAGACAGGGCACAGATCAATTTAAAACTGAGTGAAATTACACAGTAAATTATACTGTATGACTAATCAGAATCTCCTAATGATATTTCTAAGATGCCATATGCTATGTTGCTTAGTCATCAATAGGGAGGAAAAGAAGGAATATGAATTGTATTAGCAAAGGTACCACACATATGCAGTATTTTGACAAAGAAAATGACTGTTTTCTTTTGTAGTAGATGTAAATGTTTTACACTTGTGATACTCCCATGGTTGTTTATTATAGAGACAACTGCAAAAGAGATTTATGTATTAAAAGCAAAGATGCCTGCAATACAAATGCTACTTCTGCTAGGAAGGCAGCTGGTTCATTCTGTGCATTCTGAGGAAAGCAGAGCCCTTCAAAGATGGGGAAAATTCCTGTTTTCTAAGCAAATGGTGTGTGGGGGGGGGTGTGTGTGAGAGAGAGAGAGAGAGGGATGGGAGAGGGGGGTGCACATGTGCATGTGTAGAAGGCCAGGAGTTACTTTTGAGAGTAAAAAAATTGGAGAAAGAGGGAGGGCAGAGAGAATCAAAAGATCTGCATCCAACAGACTGAGTGCAGGCTTCTCAAAGACTTTAAGAGTAGGAATTTTGTACGTATTTGGAGGCTAAAACCAGATAGGTCACTAAAGGCGTTTGGACATTCTGCTAGGAACATAGGCTTGGAGAGAATCCTTGGGTCATTGAATCTAGTCTGCTGTGACCTCAGGGGGTTATGTAATAAATGTTTACCCCCCCAAATCCACAAGAACATCCAGTTTAGCTCTTCCTGTGCCCCAAATCCCAAAGCATTTGCCACTGGTCAGTGCATTTCAAGTCATACAGGGGCCCTGCTAATGTCATAAACCAAATATGACTTCACTAGAACAAAACTAGGCATACCATATATGGCTTGCACAGATATATTGGGAAAGTAGCTCATTAGTTTTAAAGGAGGCTCCAAAGCCAACAAATAGAGAATGAATTGATAAGAACACCAAAACAAAGATCCAAGTGACTTGGTCACAGGTGTCCATATCTGGTGGGAAGCTTGCACTATTTAGTGAGCAGCAGGACGCGGATGATGTCACCTAAGTATGTTTTAGTAACTGGGGAGAACTAGGATGTGTATGCTGTAACATGATGCTGTGATCAGTGTATAAAAAAGGTCTGTGGAACCCTAAATACTTTATACTCAGCATTGGGGTTATGTTCATGCCTGTACCATGCCTGCAAATAACCCAGATAGCACAATGTACCAGTTAGCCATGGCAATACCTATGCCAGCATCTAAGTTTCTTGGGAACAATAAACCTGGCTGAGCTTTTGTTACTAAGATCTAAGGCCTGCAATCTCTTGGAATAACAAGCTTGTTAGGGGCACAGCATCACAGATAGCATCATGACAGTGCATGCACACACCATCCAAACTGAGGGAGCCTGACATGACTGGTAATATCTAACCCCCAAACTGCTGAAGTCCTACACAGCAAAACGAACAAACCTAAACCCAACCACCCCAAATCTACCATTTGTCCCAGCAGGACAGCCGGGGAGACAAGCACTACTAATGCCTTTGGCCTTTCTCGTAATTTCAGGGAATTAGGTTGGTAAAATATGCTCAGATGTACCAGGTATTTTAAGGGTCTGGCTCTATGTGGCTTAGAAGCTCACAAGTCATTAAGTACCTCTGAAAATTCTCCCACAAAGTTCATCCCTGTTTTAATTCTACTGATATAAATTGTCTTACAGCTCCTTTCACACATCTTTACCTGTTGAGTTGTTCTTGAAGCAAATCAAGTCGGTGTTCAACTTCCCCATAGGTAAGTTCACTTTCAGATTCACAGATGCCCCATGTCACATGAGGGAATGCTGACTGACTTGAAGCCTCATGGTATCCTTTTAGGTTTTCCTGTTCCCAGTTTCTTTTATCAGTGATATCTGATGAAAAAAATCATGAAGAAGTATAAATGTACTGGTCCACTTAAATGTAGTTGTTGTTTGAACCTGAAGAATTGAAGACATGACCAAGTTAATGTGACACTATTTACACTTGATTTTTAAGAGATGTTGGTCTGTTGCTTATTCAACCAAACAAATTAGAATTTTGCAAACCTGTGAAATATAAGTCCTACCTTGAGAGAAATTAAATCAGTCACATCTGTGTTTTGCAATCCTAGCATATTTTATTAAAACATATATATTTTAATTAGTACAATGTCCCATGATTACATACTTCCTTTGGTAGGTCTTATCATTCCTTTCCACGTACACTTTTGGGAATTTCTGGCGTAGATAATATACTACCTTTCCTTTCTTACAAGCTTTGGGAAGCGTAAGAGTTACCACTGTTGACATATCGTAGGATATCCACTGAAATGAAAAGTGGAGTTCACCCCTCCAATATAGTAGATCAGACTCTCTGCAGATGACTCAAGCAGATGACTTTGTGTACGTTAGTTTCATTTCAAATTTTTATATTTGTCTAAGAAACCATGAAAAACTAGATCCTTACACAGGAAGGCAGGAAATAGGTGCCATTATGAATCGTTTATCCAAATCCTTCTACATAACCCTCTCCTCAACCTATCATGTATCATATTTTTGGAAATATTCTTTAAGTAGAGATAGTAGAGAAAACTTTCCTCAGGTGAGATCAGTGGTGAAAGTAGAGTGAAGCAGAAAGGGAAGCACTCATCACTAGAGTTCAAATGGGGAAATGTTCCTCTCCTTTTGACAGGGAATAGTGGATGTGCTTTATTGCAATAATGGTGCTTTGCGATCTGTGAGATCAGAGGGTTTCCTGGAATTTGAATATCACATGACATAACATAAACTAGCTTTATGCGTAAGTCTAAAGAAGGAAGAGAAGATTTTACCTTGGCTCCATGGTGTCCCATTCAATTTCTCCGACTAGTCAATACATAGCACAAGGGAGGGAAGAAAGGAAAGGCAATGACTGGGAATCATAATTTTGACTGAGCTAGTATGTATCGCACAATTTTCAGGTTTCTGAGGAAAGTGGGAAGCTTTGGGAAGGGTCATGGGACAAAATATTGACAAGCAGAAGTCTGGCATTATCTCAATCCACACCTGCATGTAGAATGCATAGTGGAAAACTAGGTGACTGATTTTTAGATGGTGAATTTAAGGAATAAAATCTAAATGGTACATGTAGTTTGTTTACACTGCTTTTTTACTGCCCTGTAAAATCTAACAGATTTTATGTGGAAATTCTCAAGTTAGATCACATTTGTTTTGTCTTATGCCATAGTATCTCTTTAGCTGTGCCACAGGGGAAATCACAGATGTTTTTGTCTGGGAACAAATATTTGTGGAATATTTTGAGTAACACCTTCAATCTGATTGCCAAATACCTTGCATTAACTGAAGTTTACAACGGATCACATACTCTCATCTAAACATTCTGGTCTTCTCTTTCAGGGGAATTGTGTACTTCTTCCTAGGTGTTCCCACATATATAAATAGCAAACAGTGACATCCAGGGAAATCAAGCATTACAGCTAAACATGGCCCTAGAGGAATGTCTTCAAGGTGAGACCTAAATTAATAAATGTATGGACAGGTTCATCTAAACAGCTGAGAGATAAAAATCCAGGGCTTGAATAAAGGCTAGGGAGTCCACAAAGATCATGGAAAATAGGTTTTTTCTGCTCTGTGGGGATTAACAACTACTGAAAAACTTCTCTGTATGTTCTCAAAAGAGGTCCAGAATTGAAACACTAAATGCTGCAGGTCATAATTGCCTTAGCACTGTTTATACAGTACCTGCCCCAGGCTATCCAGGGAGGTATTCATAGCCCCTTATGATCCAAGAAGACCTCAACGGCAGACCAGGCAAAAGAAAAGTGTAATCCTCTTTTCTGCAGCTGTGAAGGAGGATGAAGGCTGCAGCAGATCAAGGGTCTCCAATCGTCTTGGATTCCGTGCCATTGGACTTAGATCCCAATCTGTCTAGGACTGCTTTTGTTGGTGTGCAGCAACATCCTCATGCTAAAAGAAGCCATGCATAGGCATCTTCCGTATGGGAATTATACATTTTCTCTGCACAACAGGGAAGCCCTACAGTGATCGGTGAGTGGTGACAGGGATAGGACTGTGAGATCTGGAAGTTCCTAGTCATGGACCGGCATGTAGGTGGTGGGTGTTTGCTTCAGTCCTCTTGTTTGAGGACAGAGGCAGTAAGACCAGTTCGTCAGCAACACCCATGACTAAGCAGTCCTGTTTAGGATCCACTCTGCTCACCCCACATGGGGCGGAGGCTAGAAAAGGTGCCCCAAACATAGTCTGTCTCAACCAGTTCCTGACTGGATAACCGTGTTCAGTGGGACCACCTCTATGTGGTAACAAAGAAACAGAAATGATTTTTGGAACCTGGAATGTATAAACCTTAATGGACTACTCAAATAGTGATTGTCTCAAGCAAAGGACAGCAATAGTCTCTCATGAACTGAGGAAGTTCAGCATCAACATTGCTGCCCTATCTGAAACTCAACACGCTGGAGAAGGACATCTGAAAGAAGGAGGTGGAGGATATACATTCTTCTGGAGAGGGACAGCAAAAGAAGAGTCACGAACACATGGAGTTGGTTTTGCCATCAAAAATGAACTTGAGAACTGACTTTCAGAAGACCCAATTGACGTTAGTGAATGCCTCATGACTCTCCAACTGAAACTCGCCAAAAACCAACAGGCGACAATTGTGAGTGCATATGCCCTGACTCTCAATGCTGATAAAATCATGAAGGAGAACTTCTACTCACAGCTTGACACCATCCTCTCATATATCCCAAGGGAAGATAAGATCATCCTTCTTGGAGATTTTATGCCAGAGTGGGAAGAGACTCAAAATTTTGAAATGGTACTATCAGAAAAGAAGGCATTGGAAATTCAAATGCTAACGGGGTCCTTCTCCTGATGAAGTGTGCAGAACATGGACTTGTCATCACAAATACCCTGTTCCATCAAAGGAACAAGTTTAAGACATCTTAGAAACACCCTAAATCAAAACACTGGCATTTGATTGACCACGTGACTGTTCAGATTCGCGATCACCAGGATGTCCTGATTACTAAAGCCATGACTAGCACTGATGACTGTTGGACTGACTGCCACCTCATTCATTCCTGCATGTCCATCAGGATTGCTCCTAAATGAAGAATACAAAGGAAGCAGACATATGTTAAACATCGAGTGCTTGAAGGACCCACTCAAGCAGAGAGAATGCCAGCAACTCCTGAATGAGACACTACCAACAGAGCACCCAGAATGAGTTGAGGAGCACTGGATGGGACTCAAGACAGCTGTTCTCTCAACCTGTGAAAATACCATAGGATACAAGACCAGGAAACATCGAGACTGGTTTGACAAAAATGACACTGAACTTCAAGGTCTCATTGACAAGAAATGGAAAGCTCTCTCTGCCTGGCAGAATGACATCAACTCTGCCATCAGGAAAAATGCACACCAACAAGCAAAATCAGAGGTGCAGAGGAGAATACGAGAACTGAAGAATGAGTGGTGGATTCAGAAATAAAAAGAAATCCAACATTTTGCTGACATCCGTGACACTCATGGCTTCTTCAGTGCAACCAAATTTGTCTATGGCCCTAGCACTCAAGGCCTTCAACCTCTAAGATCACAGGACAAAACAACACTCCTGAAAGACAGTGAATCAATCAGTGCTTGCTGGAAAAAACATTTCCAGGACCTTCTGAATCATGACTCAACTGTTGATGAAGATAAGATCAACAACCTTCTGCAAAAAGCAATCAGAGAAGACCACAGTTTGCTGCCTGGCAGAGGTCGGGACAGCTGTCGGGAAAATGAAGAATAACAAGGCAGCCAGTGTTGATAGAAAACCTGCAGAGATTTTCAAAGGAGAAGGAGAAAAACTTACGTGTCAGCTTCATGTCCTCATCCTTAAAATCTAGAACAAGGAAGAGATCCCAGCCTAACATTAGGGGCTATAGGCTGTACAGGCGTGATAGAGA